GGGTATTTATTGTCACTGCAAAAAATAAAAAAACAAAAAAAAACCCAAAGTAGTAACAACTTTCTTATCCATATGAAGTTTTTTTCTGAAATTTTTAAAATTGATTTTAGAGAGGAAGGGAGAAAGAGAGAGAGAGAAACATTGATTTTTGTTGTTGCACTTATTTATGCATTTATTGGTTGAATTCTTATATGTGCCCTGACAGGGGATTGAACCCACAACCTGGGCATATCAAGAGGACACTCTAACCAACTGACCTATCCGTCCAGGGCCACCTAAAGTTTTAGAAGACTGGATAATAATAATAACTGCAGGTAGCATTATGTAATTCTTACTATATAACTGTTCTAAATTTTTGACAGCTTTCATATCATCCTCTCAATAACTTCAGACATAGCTACCATCATTATCCCTGCTTTATAGATGAGTAAATGGGTTATAATGCCAAGAGGAGGAGGCAGCAACTGGCAGGGCTGGGATAAACACGCAGTAGTCTGGCCCAGGGGCCACGCTCTCAGCTCACACTAAGCTGCCCCCCTATCTGGCAGTCGCGTGCAGGACGGCAGACAGTAGAGGGGAGAGGTGTGGAAATGGGTGCTCCGAAGTCTATTGCCAACAACTTCAGGCACATGGCACTGAGGACCTGTACTAGGCAGTGAAACAGGAAGGAAGAAAAAAGGAAAAAAAAGGGATGATGATTAAAAGTAGCCACAAGGGAGGTTTCTGGAGAACTAGCCCGTTTTTGATTTGGGTGTTGGTTATAGGAGTGTGTTCAGTTTGTGAAAGCTTATCAAGCTGTATTTTTTAAATACATATTTTCATGAACAAAAAGTTTAAAAATGCAAGGATGGATGTAAGAGCATTTTGGTAGTACTATGAATGCCTTTACCCGCCTCTATTTTCCAAATGTCCCAGAAGGTCCGAGCACGGCATCATGGAGCCCCGAGGCCATGGTAACCAGTGCAATCACCCACGTGGATGATGCGCAAACCTCACCTCTTAGCCTGAGACATTCAGCAGCCCAGACGTCAGCTGCATTTCAGGCAACACAGCATGATGGTTCAGAGAATGGCATTAAGAGCTATCCTGCCTGGCCCTGGCTGGTGTGGTTCAGTGGATCGGGTGTCTTCCTGCACACCAAAAGGTAGCTGGCTTCATTCCCAGGCAGAGTGCATGCCTGAGCTGTGGGCCAGGTTCCCAGCTGGGTACATGGTTGAAAGGCAACCGATCAATGTCTCTCTCCCGCTCTTTCTACCTCCCTTTCCCTCTCTCTAAAAATAAATAAAATCTGAGCAAAACAGAGAAAGAGTGCGCGTGCAAGCGAGTGTGCAAGCGCACGCACTTACTACACTCCCTGGGCTCAAATTTTGCCTTTGGACCTACTCGATGAGTGATCTTGAACATGCTACTTCACTTCTCTGTATTATCTTGCTTTCTGCAACCATAAAGCTGGTATAACACAGTGCCTAACTCCCAGGGCTTTGCTGTATATTAAATGGGCACTTATAATCATGCCTGGCATGTAGAACAAACTAAATGCTAGCTCCTGTCCTTAGCATTTAGGCCCACAGCCATGCTCTCCTCTCTCACATCGGTTATTATATACTTTTCTTTATCTCTCCCCTATTATTGAGATAATTTATTATTATTCCCTGTTATCTTCTAAAAAGAATTTAAGATAGATTTGTTTTAGCTAGTGTTTAAGTAGTACAATCATATTACAAAAAACCTGGAACACAGAAAATCAAGTATTACACGTCTAGGAGGGTAGTCACCCTGCTGCTGCTGTGAAATGCTTAAAGCAATCTGTAGGCATGAGCCGCAACATCACATTAGAGCCACCGTGAGAAGGCCATCGGTGAAAAAAGTACTACAGAGCAAACATCAGTCAACAGACACTGACAAAACAGCCACAACTTTTCATTTTGAAAATTTGGAAGGTTAGAAGGACAGTACAAGGAATACCAATATGCCCTTCCCCTAGATTCACCAGTTGTTAACAATTTACCACATTTGTTTTCCCTTCTCTCTCACTCTCCACACATACTTTATTTTGCTTAACTATCAGAAAATTAAGTTGTAGACTTTGTGTGATTGCATTTATAAATACTTCAGCTTTTATCTCTTAAGAATAAGGACATCATCCTATATAACCATAATACCATACATATCATACCCAAGGAATTTCACAGTTGTACAATACAATCAATTACCTAATACACAGCCTATATTTATATTTTTCCAATTGTCCTAAAAGTTTAGGATCCAACAAAGATCATATTGCATTTAAACTGCCATTTTCCCTTTAATTTAGGACAGCTCCTACGCTTGCCTTTTTATATCTTTCATAGCACTGACATTTTCTGAAGAGTCCAGGCAGTTGTTTTACAATCTGGATTTGTGTGTTCGCCGAGGACTCAATTCAGGTGAAACATTTTTGCGAAAGTGCTACATAGTTGATACTGTCTATATAATTGAAATTTTAGACTTTACATTGCAACAAAGTTACATAATAATAATTTGTTCCATTATTGTTGTTGCTACATTTGATCAGTTGGTTAAAGTGATATCCGCTCAAACCTTTTCATTGTAAAGGAATTCTTTTTCTCCTTGTAATAAGCAATCTGTGAAGGGATCCTTTGACTCCTTGTGAATATCTTGTTCCCCAAAAATCTTTTTATCCAATGGTTATAGCATCTGTTGATAATCTGCCTGAACCGGTGAACACATTAGTATACAAAATGGTCACTGGTGATCTTTATGGTGTGGGTGAAATGAGCCCTTACAAATCAAATACTATTTTTTCACTCATCTACATTATTATTTCATAACTGTAATATCAGAAATATATCAGAAGTTCATCTGCTTGACCCTACCTGACACTGATTCACAATACCTATCCGTCTTACATTTCTCTGATCTCTGTCCACCTGAGCAAGTACATTAAGCAGAAACAAACATAAATACACTGGTTTAAGCAGTGGGCAAGGAGATACCTGTCTATACAAGCAAGAGGTTGCCTAGCAGATCAAATTCCACATCAAAAAGTCTGTTTTGCCCTGATTGGTGTGGCTCATCGTCCCACAAAGCAAAGGGTCACTGGTTCAATTCCCAGTCAGGGCACATGCCTGGATTGTGGATTCGGCCCCTAGTCAGGTTGTGTATGAGAGACAACTGATAGACGCTTCTCTTTCACATCAATGTTTCTCTCCCTCTTTCTTGCTCCCTTCTCCACACTCTAAAAAAAAAAGTAAATTTAAAAATTTGTTTAAAAATGAAAAGTCTATTTTTCCAAAGACAGTTCTATAATGAAGTCAGCTTCAGGCATCCCAAGAAGAGAGCAAGGAGCGACACGAAGTGTCCAGGCAATAGACTCTTGGCTCCAATTTTTTTTTTCTTGGCACAATTTTGAAAGATTCTTCAAACCACACTAGGAGAATACCATCTCACATGTGCCAGCTGTTTCAGGCAGCCTGTTCTGCCTGACCCTGTGAATATCACTCCTTCCTGGTCAACAGTTCCTTAGGGCCCAAACACCACCCCCAGAGCGGCTGTTTCAGAGTCCCCTCGGGAAGCTGCTTTAGAAACGGATGCCCCAGTCCCACCTCTGACCAACTGAATCAGTGCCCTGCGGAGGACTCTGGGAATGTGTGCTGACAAGCACCCCAGGGGACCTCATGAGCAGCCAGGTTTGGGAACCTTTGCTTACAGAAGACCCACTGTAGCCTCCAAAACAGAACTAACCCATAGTACACAGCAGTTAGTATCAGTCCCGTATGTGATAGCCACCCTGCCAACAACTGACTCCCAGGGCCTGGAATGAGAGCGGAGGAGTTCAACCCACAGGCTCTACTGAACCCCCAATTTATAACCTACTAGAGGCTGAAAAAAAGTCACTGTACTTAAGAGAAGCTGCCAGATCTATGGTTCTCCAAATTTTGTCTCTACCAGAAGCACCAGAGAACATCAGTCCCAAAGATTCTGAGCCAGAGGTCTCCTGTGGGGCTTGGCCATGTGTGTTTGCAACCAACGCTCTAGGTGCTTCTGATGCAGGGAATCCGAGGACCACGCTTTGAGAGAACCTGGCCTCGATGCTGCTCTGCCCTTATCTATAAGCCATCACGGAGCAACAGAGTTGAATAAAGTTTCTTGGCCTACACTTTAGGCTACTTATCAAACCAAAGAAACAAAATCTGAGGTCATTGGGAAATGTCTCTGAGCCACACAGAAACATTCAGATGATATGAAACCTTTCATAAAAGGTTGCACTCATTTGCACTCCCACGTTTCCTCCCCCTGCAGGACTAAGGAAGGCTGAGCCAAGAGCGAGAGGCCGAGGTTCCCAGCACAAAGCCCCTCTTCAGGTTCCATATTAGCAGTTTCCAGGGGACAATGTGGGCAACAGGGGCACAGGATCACCCCCTGGAGCGCACTTGAATCGAACAGCATTTCTGACTTTATTAAGATCCTCCCTGATTCCAGCTTCTCCTTCACCCTGGGAGGGAGCAAGCTCCTGGCAGTTCTCTCTGCCCCCACCCTCTACTGTTAGCCCAAGCCTTAGTCAAGATTAACATGCGTGTTTGCGGCCCCAGAAACAGGGATGATTTAGACCACTGGCAGCAGGGAGCAAAGACAGTGCTAATTATGGAAAATGGGGCAGGCAGAGAAGAGCTAGTCAGTTCCATGCCAAGTTGGCCTCTGGCTCACTGGGAATCAGAAGCACGGCTGGCAGACTGTAACAAGGGCTCAGGGTGTCAGAACAGCAGCACGGACTCTCACTTGTTGCCAGAGGTCGCAGTGGCAGAGCCCCTCCCTTCCATGGCCCAGGTGGCTTTCCACCCCAAACCACCAGGCAAAGCAAGTCACCCCCATGGTACAAATGCGGTGTAGTGCTCCCAGGAAAGGTCCCCCCGCAGACATCAAAACATATCTGTGCGTTCCCAAAGCCAATCAAACTCATGACAATAAACCACCCCCTCGGCCGGCTCTCGGGCTCTTACCTGACTGGAACACGTATCTGGCCAAGCCCTGCATTAGCTCTGCTGGCCACGTTGGGGGAGCGGACTCCCCTGTTTCTCGCTTCAGACGAAATGTCAACTCAAAGCCAAAACCACTAGGTCCATCTGTTCCTGTAAATCTGAAAGAAATAAAAGGCAAATGTTTTTAGTTCAACTACCTTAGGAAAAAGAAAAACAATGATTTAAAAGTCTAATTAAAGTTCCCTCTTATTCTTGGTGGCCTTAGCATCCAAACCCCTGAGTCAGATGAATCGCCCAGTGTGTGAACCTTGAGGGGAAAAGGGACCTGAACAGCCTGGAAGGAACCAGAACTCTAGCCTCACCCCTCAGTCAGTTGTAGCACTTGTGTATGACCTTGGGCCAGCCAATCAAATTGCCCTGCTGGCGCTCTGAATTACAAGTTCCGCATTTTGTGGCTCTGAAACATTCCTTTCTGTGTGATTGAGGGTCCATTGCTGAAAATCTTCCTTATCCATGCTCCATATTCTTCCAAGTTCTTGATAAGCACCTACTGCGTTTGCTAAGGATACAAGTCCTGCTGTGCGCTCTGTGAGGACGGCAGCCTTTCTCTGCTCCCACCTCCCCACGGGCCCACAAGGGTCCAAGCCCTGCGCTGGATTGCCTGGCCTCCAAACTCAGCATTTGCAGAGAGGTCCCAGGGCAGACTCCAAAATACTGCCAGGGCCTGCGATTCCTCCTGAAACCCAGAACCCCATGTGCCCCCATCAATCCGCGCATGTGATTCCTGGAGTCCGGCACCTCGTGCGCACCCTTCGATCACTGGAAACTTAAGGTAACAAGGTGTGCCCCTCTTTCCCATCCCCAGGTAGCCCAGGATGATAAGAGCTCCTGCCTCTGTGGCCACACTCATCACAGTGATGTTGAGGCAAAGAACGCCTGCCTCCCTGTCTGCTGGGAAATGCTCAGGGGCCCCAAGTCTCCAAGGAGGCCCCTGGAATGGCCTTCTGCCAGAGGGCAATGACATGGCCTGGAGGGCCAGGCCCGGGGAGGGGCGGCACACCTCCCTGGGTGGGAGGAGCCGGGGAGAGGTCCTGAGCTCAGGAGGCTCGCCAGCACGAGAAGGGTTAAAAGCTAAGCTACGTTCAGGATATAATTTTCTGTAATTATATCTTGTACAAACATGAGCCACAATGATTATACATGTGTAAGCTCCTCAGCATACAAATACAAACCATAAACTAGAATGACAGCCCACACCTCCTTGCCAGCCAAGCTACTGGAACGGCGATGCAGTCAATGCCCACTCTGGAGTTCCACGTGGCATCTTTCCTTCTTCTTCATCCTCCTCCCCATCATCATCATCACCAACCCCAAGAGGCCACGCCCAGAGGCCAAACAGAAAGGTACTGAAAGGCGCAGACACTCTGGCATCAGCCCTCACCCTGCTGTGTGCCTGCGTTAACTCAGGCTTCCTGTGCTCACTGAGGTGGGGAGATCACCCCTCATAGCTAAGTTCGCTAAAGGACTGAGAAGGAATCCATCCTTACAGTCACCATAATCATACCCAATTATATTCAAAGGAGGTGTCCCCAGTTTGCATTTCCTCTGAGCGCCTAACAATTTGGGAACCAAGATTCATTTTGAGGGTACACACCTAGAATTTGAGACCACGCCGGAAGATGCACAGCAGGACACAGCAGAAGCTGCTGCCTTTCCTTGTGGACCTGCCCTGTTTGGGGGCAATTCCTTGCCGGCAGGCTGAGGGTGTAGCTAAGCACACTGAGGCTAGAAGAGCTGTCTCCCGGGGTGGCAGGTATGACAGGCGTGTGAAAATCTGGGTAAATGCAAGGCTGACTGGGAGTTAAAACTCTGCAAAAGGAGATGGGTCACTAGGTCAAAGGGAAGATTTCAAGCAGCCACCAATTAGAGGCAGCTTTGTAAAATGTATTAGACTATTACTCCAGGGCTTTCATCTTGGGCCAAGATAAATATATGATTTCTAACCACAAAATCTTGAGAAACACACTAAAAGAAACACGTTCCTTGGGAATCGCAATGGGGGGAACCCTTGAGTGCAAAGAGAAGAAAATCACATGCATCCAAGCAGCACCACTTCTCTAAGGAGGGCTGCGCACACATGCACATGCATGTACGGGCGTGCCCGCACGCACGCGCACGTGTATGCCATCTGCCTCCACACAGGGCGCTTTCTAGGCCAGCTCTGTGGTGGGCAGGCCAGCCGTCACAGGGCTCGCTGGGAGGGACAGGCCCAGCCAGATGGCCTCCACCTGTGTTTGATTACCACCCACCAGGCTGGCTGGACAAAACCTCTAAAACCTCTGGAACATGAGTTTGGACTGGCCCGGCCTCAGGATAAACACACAACCTGGAGCCTGTCAGGTCTCTTTTTCAAAGCAGACTGCCCAGGCAACAGCCAAGTGACAGGATCATCCAGCCTTTAAAGTCCCCTGGAGGGGCCTGGCGTGGTCTGGACTTCCTCAACATGAGAGTTTCTCCAGCCAGAGAGGTTTTTGTCCGACCAGAGGATGAAGCCCCTCCTAGGGAGCAGCTGTCTCTCCCATCTTCCAAGAAAGGAAAACGTGAGAGGAAATTGGCTTGTGTGGCAGAAGGTGGGATCTGGGTCAGAGCACAGAATTTTTCTAACACGGGGCTGCTAAAATACTGGCTGGTGGAAAAGGGGCCCATGGGGTTTCTTCCAACAGGAACTAAAAAAAAAAAAAAATTACAGTTTCTCCCCAACCTGGTAGGGAGGGGGTGAGGGGTTCCAACTGTCTTGTTGCAGAAGGATGAATGAGGTGGCCTCTCAAAATTGTTTTTAGCTCAAGAACCTCTGGTCCTGCTCACCAGGGTGCCCAGAGGAAAGGCTTCGCCCCAGCAGTTCGGTGAGCCTAGGAATGGCTGTGCCAGCCTTAGGAGCAACACCAAACCCGCTGACAGGAAGAACATGCGCCTTAAGTCCTAGACACAGCTGCCTGCCCTGGAACTGCCCAAACGTTTGTATCGAAGCATCTGGCTAAGGTCTCACCCAGTCTCCGAGAGGACAAAATGATCACTAACTTCAGGCTGAAGATGAACAGGAAAGATTTTTCTGGAGAAAACACAACCGCTGGGGTAGGCAGGAAAGGGCTGATCTAAAAGTTGGCATCTCATGCTCAACACCATTAATTATTAGGGAAATTCAAATCAAAACCACAATGAGGTACCACTTCACATGCTCTAAAATGGCTAAAATAAAAGACAATGAGTAATGTTGACAAGGCTGTAGAGAAAATTAAAACACTCATACACTGCTGGTGGGATAGTAAAATGGTGGAGCTGCTTTGTAAAGCAGCTGGGCAGGACCTCAAAAAGTTAAATATAGAGTTACCGTATGATCCAACAGTTCCACTCCTAGGGTACATACCCAAGAGCACTGAACACACATGTTCACACAATTTGTATGCTAATGTTCCTAGTAGAAGTATTCGTAACAGCTAAGAAGTAGAAGCAACCCAATGTCATCAGTGGGTAATTGGATAAATAAAATGCAGCATATTCATACAATGGAATAAAAAGGAATGATGTACTGACGCATGCTACAGCATGGGTGAATCCTGACAACATGATGCTAAGTAAATGAAGCCAGATACAAATGGCTACAAGTAGTGTGATGCCATTTATGTGGAATGTCCAGAATAGACAAATGCATCCAGACAGAAAGTTGATTTGTGGCTTCCAGGGATGAGGGGGAGGAAAGAATGGAGAGTGACTGCTAAGTGGGTAAAGTTTCTTTTGGGGATGATGGAAATGTTCTGGAATTAAATAGTGATGATGTCTGTACAACCTTGTGAATATACTAAAAAACACTCAATTGTACATTTTAAAACAGTGAATTTCATGGTATGTGAATTATATCTTTAAAAAAAAAAAAAAAAAAAAGGCTGGCATCTCAGGGACACCTAAATGCTAGGACAGGCAAGGCCTACCATACAAAGTCAGTGGGTTTACCTGGTTCTATCTTTTAATAACTACTATGATAAACTATGAACACCTACTAAGTTTGAGGCCTTGGACTAAGCACTTTTCTTATGCAGCATTTACTTCTCCAACAACTCTATGCCTCAGCCATTTAACTAAATATATGGGGGCGGGGGGAGAACCATTTGAGAGAATTTAAGTAATACTCCTTAAGTCATATGGCAAGCAAGTGATTGAACTTAAATTTAAAGTCTGCCTAACTCCAAAGCCCATCTTCTTATTACTGTGTGACCTCAGGCAACATATTTAACCTCTCTGTGCCTCAGTTTTCTCATCTATAAAATGGGGATAATAACAGTAACATAACTATTTCAGAGTTATTATGAGGATTACATGTTTAAAAACTGGAACACTGTAAGCATTATATCACTACCATTAAGTGGAAAAAGGCAGTTACAAAAGATCATATATTATAACTCCATTTATATGATATAATAAATAATACATTTGCAATATAAATTATATATTCATTATACAAAATGTTCAGAATAGACAAATCCATAGAGACAAAGTAGATTTTAGATTGCCTAGGGCAGAGAGACTGAGGACAAATGTGGAGTACTTGCTAAAGGGTATGGGGTTTCTTTTTAGTATAATGAAAAAGTTCCAAAATTAAATTATGGTGATGGTTATGTAACTATGAGTATACTAAAAACCACTAAATTATATACTTTATGCATGAAGTAAAGGGGGTAAATACTGGAGGTGGGGGGTGCAGGGCAGAGGGGGACAAAGGGGAGAAAAAATGTAATAGCATAATCAGTAAAACATACTTAAAAAAGATAATACAAAAAAACTGTATACTTTAAAGCTGTTTTTTTAAAAAGATTTTACTTATTTATTTTTAGAGAGGGGGGAGGTAGAAAGAGAGGAGGAAAAACATTGATGTGAGAGAGAAACGTCAACTGGCTGCCTCTCACAAGTACCCTGATAGGGGACCAAACCTGAAACCAGGCTTGCGCCCTGACCGGGAATAGAACCGGCAACCCTTCGCTTTGTGGGATGACGCCCAACCAACTGAGCCACGCCAATCAGGGCTAAAGTTGATTTTTAAAATTGAGGGAAAAAGCTAAAGGCTCACAGTAAAAAAAAAAAAAAAAAATCAAAAATCACAAACTAT